CTGGCTTCCTTCAGTGCCTTCTCCGTGAGTTGTTCAGGCTCCCCAGTATTGCCAGTCCTTGGAGCATCACCCACATCCTCTTCAGTCACCTCTGACTCAACGTAGGCAACAACCTCATCCACCTTCTTGCAGACAGCTGGGAGAGGTCTCTCATCATAAGGTAAAATTTCAACCTAGCAGAAAAGATAAAATTTGCTCTTCTGGAAATGACTCAGATGTGAAGTGGTTTTATCACTAATTGGATTCACCTCAGTGCAATTTTCTCACATCAAAGCAGCATCACACCCGTTAACCATGAGAATAACCACATTACTTGGAAAGTTGGAGATCAGATTGTTTGCTCTGACAGGTTTCTGTAGTAAGAGAGGGACTACTACTCACATTTTCCTTGGGAAATGCTTCCTTGGAGGTTGTGGGCTGAATCTGAGGAGAAAGAGGGGACTGGTAGGGAACAACAGACTCAGAAGAAGTGGGATCCACCAACTGCTCTTCCAGCACAGGCTCTGCCCTCAGGGGCTCTCCTTGGAGTGGGTCTGCAGGCTCAGGATGGGAGCTCTGGGGGCTCTCAGTGCCACTCACAGATTCCAAAGCCAACTCAGGTGGCTTTCGGATCTGAGAAAGGGAAGAAGAGTTTTACAGCAAGGCTAAAAATGTGCTGAAATCAGTCAGTACAGCTACAACTCTGTCAACGGGCTTCTGGTAATTTTAAGTAAACATTGAACCTGGCTCACAGGTGTGTCATCATTCCCACTGGATGCAGCTTTATGAAACAGTCAGAAAATAATTTTGTGTGGGTGCATGTGTGGAGAGATTATAAAACTTCCTTTTCTGAGCACATTACATAACTGTATGGATATAAAAATATCACATGGATTCTGTATGGTTAGCCTTGATACCACCTTAAGCCTCCTCTACCCCTCCAAAATATGAGAATGTACCTTATCCATCTGCATCAGCTAGTCTTGAAATTATGCAAAGCATTCAGGATTCTAATTGCATTTTCTTGGGACCTCAACAGTTAGATGGGATTTATGGAGAATTAAGCATGTTCATGAAACACCACACTGAGAGTCTTAGGTTGGAGAAATCCACAATCCAAAGAGAAAACTGAAAAGCTTTAGTAAATCTCAGAATTTCCATTAACATGTGAATGAAGGTTGGTTGCTCTGCCATTTCTATTTAGAACACCCTCCTGAGTTTGGACTAACAGCACCCACCAGCAGCTGTGCATCCAGGAGATCGTGCAGCTCCAGCTGCTGGTACACCTTCAGCCTGTACTCATCCATCTGCTCCTTCTTTTTCTTAGCAAGGTCATAATCCTCCTTCTCTACCGCGTAACGCTTCTCCACCTCGTATCGGCCGAGTCGCTCGCCCACCTAGGATTGGTACAAATCATCTTGGAATCATTTTACTGAACATTTCTTGGAATCACTTTACGGAGCACTTCCTGGAATCACCCTACTCGTTTCATTGCTTTCAGCCAAATTACTCAATCAAACTATCTGATTTAAAAATTACTCTATTGGGAAATATATCAAAAATCATTATGATGCCACACAAACAGCAAGGCCTTGATGGGCCACTGGAGCTCTGCCCCACTTCAGATGACAAAGATCATCCAAAAACACCTTCTGCAAGTCTGCAATGGCCTGTTTGAGCTTCTTGGCGTGGTCGTAGCACTCGAGATGCACAGCTTCCCTCTTCTTCTCATCCAGCCTCCGGATTATCTGAGCCACTTCTGGGTCCTGGTACATGTCAAAGGCCAAATCGTCCAGAGGTGAAATGGAGTCACATTTCCTGAAGGCACAAAATTAATAAAATAAACCACAATAAGGCAGGCTTCTCTTTTTAGTAGCAGGGAATTAGCAAGACACAGAGATAAACATCTAAGCAGAGGTTTTGCCAGGGTATATGCAAAGAACAAACTTACCCAAGGTAAGTTCCATCTAAGGCAGGGTCATCCAATTTAATTCCCAAGTAGTGATCTATCAGCTTCTCTCTGGAAGGCTTTGGAAGGGTGGGAAAAAATCAACCTTAATGAACATTCACCAACACCAGGTGTGTGCTCAAGACAGAATTCTGACTTGCCACAACCAGCATCAGCTCTGCAATATAGAGCACTTATGTTTTGGGGTATATTGAAGAAGAGAACCCGAAGACGCTGAAAGTGAAAATGTCCCAACTAATTATATTTTAATTTTTGTATTCCCATATTAGGCTCAACTTTCTTGCTTCAAGAGAACATTAAAAATAAACTAATGCAACACAGCTCTGCTTAAGAATTGGCACAAGAAAGGTTCATCCCATTACTCCAGGAACCTGTACTTGAAGAAATGGAGCATCAGTAAAAGGACAGGGATGCTTTGAACTTACACTGCTCATGGTGTCAATGTCATAGTCTGCTGGATCCCCAATGATGTTCACAGCTACCAGGGAAACCTGCAAAAATTCACAGAAAATGGAAATTTATAAGCTCATTCCTCTTTTCTTGGAACAAAAACCTGGGCCTGCGTCAGGAGGGTGATATGGAAGCAGAGAGAAGCGCTGAGTGCTAAATGTGCCTCCTGCTCCATTGAAAATGTACCACCAAATCCACAACCCCTTGTCTGAAACGAGTCCCAGCAGAACTGAGGCAGGTGTTTGTGTGCCTGCACCAAGGTGGCTGTGCAGCATCTTCACTTAATGCCACAACAGGTCCAAAATATGCAGAGTGGCTTTGTGACCCCAAAGCTGTTCTCAGAGGGAGTTCCTTGTCCTCACCACAGACCCTGTTGTGTGAGCTAAACCTCAGCACAAACAAGAGTGACAGAATGTGCCCTTGACTCGTTTGTTCTAGATGAGATGCATCCACCTGATCCCAGCTCACTTCTAACCTGTTTTACTGCATTAAAAAAAACTAAAACAGAGGAGCTTTCAACCAACATTTTTTTCTTCTAAAAATCAAGGGAGCAAATTTCTGTGTACCGCTCTTTACTATGGAAGTGTCACCTACATTACCAGGTAAGGACTTCTAACTCACCTGCCCGTACAAGTTGTATTTGTTGACATAATTTCTATGGAAAATCAGCTTCAGGTACTGGCCAACTGCATCCATGTATACAGATTTCAACTCTCGAGCTCTGAAATCAGTCTTCTCATTGTCTGAGAGAGGGACATAACTGGGAAGAAAAATGTAACACATGAGTAGAGGATACATCCAAACACACAGGTGGATTTCTGACCCTCAGGTTTAAAACTCTCTCATAACTGAAACAACTGTGAAAGCTCCATGATAATCTCACAACTGAAATAACTGTGTGCTGTCACTTGGCAAGGCAATTCACCTGCATTTCTAGCTTTGTCACAGATCTACTCAAGTTCGGGATCTCTCAGCTGCTCACACAGCATGACCACATCACACACAGCCCACAGTATTATTTTTCCCCTGAAGCTTTTCTAATTAAGACAATAAACTGATTCAGAACTTTCCGTCTCACCCAAGTCTCTGAAACCTCTCTGACTGATACGGAGCAAAATATTCAGGCAGGCTTTCACTGATGTAGAACTCAATTTTGCTCGCAATCATGTACTGGTGAGCAAGCAGCTGCAGCTTCCGGACCCGACACCTCTCCACCAGCTGCAGGGTGATTTCCTGGGGGTACTGACAGAGCCTGAAAGAGACACAGTTTCTGAATTCAATCATCATTCTAAAGTGGACTTCACTTTCAACTTGAGCAACATTTAATTATGGAGCTTTCAAGTTGTTAATTGTAAGCCATTATTATAAATATTGTAAGAATAGAGTGGAAACACTTTTCCCTTCCCTTTACTGCATGCATATCTTCAGGTGCCCCACACGTCTAGAATATGTGCTGAGTCAAATGGATTTTACATACTAAATTTTTCATACTAGCTTGCAAACTCCTAGACTGCCAAGAACAAAAATAGTTATCATTTTCCTTTTCCAGGACTCTATTTAAATACAATGCAGTGCCTTTGAGTGTTAATCAAGGTACTTTTTTTCCCCCAGAATGAGGGTTCCATGGGATTAAAGTAACTTTTTTTTGCTTTATCAGTTTGGTTTGGGATACTGTAAACTGTTTTGACCATGCACAGCACATCTGCCAGTCGTTTTAAACTTGGTGCTTCAGAAATTCAGTGCTCCAAGACCATCCCCTCACAGTACCTGGGCGAGCGCCACCCGTTCACTGTCGGTGCATGAACCATCAGCTCCCGGGCACTGAACCCGTCCTCGTGTCCCGATGAACTGACCACCGTGAAACCAATCTTGTGTGGCATCCTGGGCAGATGAGCTGGTCACAGCCACGGCCTTCAAGCTTCAACTCATCCCTGGAAGGGTGACAAAAACCCACTGAGGCACTACAGCTGAAGTCAGTCCTGAGGTCAGTAGAGTCAGTAGATGATGAGTGCAAATATATATTCCCTTTAATAACTGTTCTTTTGGTGTGGGCTTGATTAGCGCTGAGCAAACCGAGGATTTAGATCACTTTAGATCAATCTACCAATAAATTAAACCCTCTAATCCAAGATGGACCTTGAAACTATGAGCTCCAAATGCACACAGGAGCAACCTGTACCAAACCTGTAGCTGCTCCACGCTCTGCGCGTTGGAGTCAGACGAACAAAAAGCAAAGCACAGTTTAGCCTCTTTGGGAAGGCCACACAACCCACCGCGGCTCCTGCTGGGAGCACCGGGAGCAGCGCTGCGCACCCCGGGCCGCGGTGCGGCACCGACACCGGCCCGTCCCTCCCTCCCCTCGCCGGCCCAACCCCGCCGGGGCGCAGGCCCGCACGGGTCACGGCCGCACCGTTCCGGGGGGACAGCCAGGCGGGGCGGCGGACAAAGCACGCGGGGGGCTCGGCGGGATCCGGGGGATGCCCGGGGCGGAGGGAGAGCGGGGCGCGGGGAAGCGCCGGGCCCGGCCCGGCCCCACCTGGCTCAGCGCGGCCCCGGCGCCGCTCTCATGGCAACGCGGCCCCGCCGCGCAGGCGCCGCTGCCACGCGGCCGCGGGGCGCATGCGCGGGGCGGCACCGGCCCCGACCCACACACCGACACTGGCACCGACACCGGGTCATACACCGACACCGACCCACACACCGACACCGGCCCCGACACCGGGTCATACACCGACACCGACCCACACACCGGCACCGGCCCCGACACCGGGTCATACACCGACACCGACCCACACACCGGCACTGGCACCGACACCGGGTCATACACCGGCCCCGACCCACACACCGACACTGGCACCGACACCGGGTCATACACCGACACCGACCCACACACCGACACCGGCCCCGGCACCGGGTCATACACCGACACCGACCCACACACCGGCCCCGGCACCGGGTCATACACCGACACCGACCCACACACCGGCACCGGCCCCGACACCGGGTCATACACCGACACCGACCCACACACCGGCACCGGGTCATACACCGACACCGGCCCGGCCATGGCGGAGCCGCTGCGGCCCTTCCGCCTGCGCGGGTGCGGCGGCCCGCAGAAGTTCGGGGTGGCGGCCGGGAGCCTGCGCGCCTTGCTGAGGAAGGGCTGCCGGCTGCTGCAGGTGCGGACCGGACCGGGCCGGGGGCTGCCGGAGGGACGGGACCATACCGGGCTGGGGTGCTGCGTACAGATGCTGGACGGCACCGGAGCTACCGGGTCCCGCCCGCCGCTCAGCCGCCCGTGGGGCAGCTTCCCTTGGCAGGCAGCCGCCTGTGCCTCTACGAGGACGGCACGGAGCTGACCGAGAGCTACTTCCGAGCGCTGCCGCCGCAGACGGAGCTGGTGCTGCTGGGCCCCGGGGAGAGCTGGCGGGGCTGTGAGTGCGGGGCCGGGCGGGGGGCGCGGGGGCAGCGCCGGCCCCGGGGCTCAGCCGGTGCCGCCTCACCTGCCCCAGGTGCCAGCGACATCGAGCGGCTCCTGGCCGCGTTCTGCAGCCAGCAGGGCGCTGTGGTGGAGGCTGCGCGGAGGCTGCTGACGGACGAGCGGGCTCCCCGCAGGCAGAAGCTGCTGGCGGATCTCATCCACAACCTGAGCGAAAACATCCTGGCCGAGGACAAGGAAGACGACAAGAAATGGTTTGAAGGTGCGTTTGTTGCCGTAGGAAGACTCACAGGTCTTGCTCTGCTCTGAAAAGTCACTTCTGTCAGTTTTGTTTGTAAAGCAGAGTTTGGGAGCTCTTCTGGCTGGTGGGACCGGGGACTTGGTCAGAGCTTTAGTTATCCCCTTCCATTGGAACGTGTCTTTAGGTTTCTTTAAAGTACATGCACATTTACTATCAGATAACGTTTTTTAAAAATGGTGTTCCCTATTGCTTTAATAGATAATTCTGAAATGCATTTCCCCCATTAATATAAGTCCGCACTTAGGATGTTTTAATGATTTGCTAATAGTGTATGGATAACTTGCATACCTCTGCCAGCTAACGATACTTTACGTTCTCTTTACACTCTGCAAGTCTCCCTTCCTATTCCCAAGCCATTACTGCAGCTCTTACCCAACAATTCTATTTTCTTTTCACAATCTCTTTGTGTTCCAAAAATACAAAGTAACAAGAAACATATAACAATACCAGCTACTTCTCCCTCAGCAGATGCTCCACAGCATCCTTTTAAGTGCTTAAGAGCAGGGTAGTCCTGAACCAGTAAAATAAAAATGGGAAATTAAAAAACCTGTGCAACCTGAGTTAGTGGAAAGCTGGCATGAACTCCCAGCTGGGCAGGAGCTGTGCTGAGGTACAAAATAATCTCGTTCCCTCCAGGGCTGGAGTCTCGGTTCAAGAACAAATCCAGCTACCTGCGGCATAGCTGTGAGAACAGAATGCGGGGCTACATGAGAGAGGTAAAAGTTTCTGTTGAAGTAACTTTTGTCAAGCTATAACAGTAATTCTGTGGCTGCAGGAATATAAAGTACTTCTACAGTGTGACATTGTGATTGTAGAAAAGAGCCTCAGGCTGCCACAGAAACCGAGGAGTGATTGCTGGGTTTCCCCCCTCTAGGTTAGTGGTTTTATTTCAAACGTTCATCCTGCAGCACGAGATGCCTACAGAGGGATAATCGACCTGATGGCAGATAAACTGAAATCTGTGAAGTACAACGGGTGCTACTTTGACAGAAGGGAGGAGGAGGAGGCAGCACGCCTGTGCACAGCAGAGGGGTGGTTCTCCTGTCAGGTACCTGCAGCCTTCCTGAAGAATCATGGCTGGGTTTGGGTGGGAAGGGACCTCAAAGCTCATCTCATTCCACCCATGCCAGGGGCAGGGACACCTTCCACTAGACCAGTTTGCTCCCAGCCCCATCCAACCTGGCCTTGGGCACTTCATGGGATCCAGGGACAGCCACAGCTTCTCTGGGCAACCTGTGCCAGGGCTCCCCACCCTCACAGGAAACGGTTTCTTCTGTATACCTGACTTAAACTTCCCCTTTTTTCAGTTTGATCCGATTCCCCCCTCAATATCAGAGGAAGGAAACAGCTTCCTGGGTGCAGTGTCAGGCTGGGGGGGATGTGGGGTGCAGGATCTCTCTGGTTCACTCACATGTGGCAGGACCACGCTGGGGTGACAAGTGTGACACCTTTCACAGGGACCTTTTGATAGAGATGACTGCCCGTGTAAGCATTCCATCAACCCCTACAGCAACAGGGAAAGCAGGATCCTCTTCAGCACCTGGAATCTCGATCATGTGTATGTACAAAATGTTAATTCAGACCTACCTGCTTTGTGGCCTTCAGCTTCAGAAAGGTTCAGCCTTAGTCCCTTTCCCCTGCTGTGCAGTCAGCTCTGCTGTGAATATGTGGTGAGAAAAGGTGCTGGGATGCTGTAGCTGCTGTGAGAACAAAACCCTGAAGAGAAATGAAATGCTACCTCTCATTAGCTGCTTTGCTTCTCAGCAAATTTTCTGTGTATGGAAGCAAACCCCTCCTCACTGCACTATCCATGTGAATTCTCCTCTCCAGCAAAACCCCCTCTGAACCATTTCAAATGTTGGTGTGAAGCAAACAAGATTTACTAAACTAATTTCCTTGGGGGAAAAAAATCATATGCCTAGTTATGGAGAAAGAATTCCAGTTCTGCCTGGCTCTGAAAGGAAGATGGAGGCTTGATTATTCTGAAAAAACTCCTGATGGCAATATTGTCTTCTCTTTTGTGTCTCCAAGAATTGAGAAGAAACGTGCTGTTGTCCCAGAACTGGCAGAAGCTGTCAAAACACGAGACGGGAGAGAAGTGAACTGGGAATACTTCTATCAGCTGCTGTTTACCCTGGATAATTTAAAACTCGTACATATTGCTTGCCATAAGAAAACCAATCATAACCTCAGCTGTGACAAAACCAGAATTTACAGAAAGAGGAAGCAAACCCATGAGATTTCCTAGTGCTGTGTCTGGAAGGGACCTGCTGCATTTCTCAATCATGTCAGTCTGTTGTTTTTAAATAGCTCCAATTTCTTGAATAAGAACAATTTGAGAATCCCTGGCACAGGACTAGCTGGGTAACCCAAGCAGAGCCTCACAAAGCACACTCCAATATCCCATTTAATTATCCTCTCCTGCCTTCCCATTCCTTACAAGCTTCCCTCAGCTCAAATCAAGTGTGATAAAGGTACAAAATGAGTCGGAGGCTGACTCTGATTCTACCCTGTCATCTTTGGCCAGCATTGGCCCAAAACTCACAGTACACAGAAATGAAACTTGAACAAAACATTTTTTCTACTAATCAACCTGCAGGGGCTCACAGACTCCTATTTCTCTGGAGCTTAAGGCAAACAAAGAAAGATTTAGGATCATGTTTTATCTGTGCCTTTTGCAGGTAGCTGCAGGAATGTCAAAGGTTCAGCAACAGAGCTGCCACCTCCCTGTGCCAAACTTCTGCCCTCATCCCCACCTGTCCCTTTGCCATTGCTTCAGACAGACATCTCCTAGAAAGAAGAGCAAGGCCATGGCATTTTTTTTTTTTTGCTTTTTCCACCTTTGTTTGCCATCTTCTCTGCTGATTTCCCTCTCCTTTCTAACACTTTCTGCTTCCAGCTTGAGTTTGCTTGACACACCACCAGTAAGGACAGCTATAATGATCATGTTTACAGTAATGTTTACTTACTGCCTTGGAGAATATTGTTTTGGTAAAACATTTCCTACCTCAGGAAACAAATCAGGAATAGTTCAATTTTTTTACTTGAATTTTTTGTTTTTAATACCAGCTGATAGCAACTAAACTTTTGGGATTGTCAATGTAAATTGTGTGAACATTTTAAATAAAAAAAATGCCCCCAGATCTGTGTGTGTGTGTGTGTGAGTACATGAAGGTGCACGAGACATTAATCAGGTGCGATAGAGCATGAAGGGAAATGTGTTTATGAACTGAGCACCAGCTACTTACTGCTCTGTAAATAACTAGGAAAAGCTCTATTTTCCCTCATATTGTTGATCCTGGACCAGTTAGTCCACATGAAATGATATTTCTGCCTGAGCCCAAATTTACTGGTCTTGGAAGCTTTGCTACAATAGGGTATTGATTTACTTTAAACAACAAACTTGGTCCCCTCCCAAACACTGCAATCTGAAAAGCAAGGATATGGAGATGCATTTTTAACACGGGATTTCTAATTCCACTGCATGCAATTCTTCCAGCTTCCCTTCCTGCACTGTTTGACACTGGGGAGGGCAGCAATGGTAGGATTCTGGTGACAAACCCACTGTCACCTGTGTGGCACGTGTCCCCCAAACTGAAAATGCATTTTGCAAGTGAAATGAATGTCTGTGTGTGAAACGGTGTTTGCTAGAAAGAGCCAGCAGCAAACACAGCACTGAAGGAATGCTGGGAGGAGCTGCTGCAACACAGAGCTGGGCTGGAACTATGAATATGCAATTTAAAAATCTGGATTTTTCCGTGTTACAAAATTAGAGTGAAAAGGAGCCAAGAAATATCTTTGACAGAAACAATGCATCAGCTGGAGTGGAAATGGGAATGCATTACCATGCCATGCATATGCAATTTGTTTGCCTTACAACTTTTGAATGTTTAACAAGCTCTAGCTGTAGAAATTAATATTTATTTAAACCATCTGCTGATAACATTTTCTCTCCATTTTTAGAAACATAGAAGGAGCTATAACAATAAATATCTAGAAGCTTATTGCATAATCACACTTTCAAAGAAATATTCCCACAAACACTGGGTGAATTAACAGTTCCTGGAATTGGCTTAGGTTGCCCCCTTTTTTTTTCTTTAACATGCAGAGGTGGCTGCCTCACAGCCTTAGCAATCTTCCTCTGTCCATCAAATCCAAGGGATGGTATTCGTTGTGTATCACCACCAAAGCATTTCTTTCCAAAATCCCTGCTGAAAACCAGTTGGAAATCAACAAAGGACAACACTTAAGAGCAGTAGGTGGAGGGAGGAGGCAGCATCACAGGGTGGGTGTTTGGGGAGCTGACATGCAATGCAAACGTGCTGAACTCGCAGAGATGAGCACACTGAATCCATTCTGACATCCTGCATTTCATTTTGCCAGCAGAACTGCATTTTAGAGGTTTAATTGGTCCTGGGTTAGGTGTAAACAACCCACACAAGGAAGACCCTTGACCTTCTTTATACTAGGGAGTTAGTTTGCTCTCCTTTATTACCTGGATGCCACAGACATTGCAGAATTAAAAGAAAAAGAACCTTGCTCCAGCATCCTTTCCTTGACTATTTGGAAAAAAAAAAAGGAGTGAAACCAAATACTTTCTCAAGAGGCTGAAATTTACAAAAAAGCCATAAGAACTTCTATATTCCCTGGGTTTTGGTTTTTTTTTTTTTTCTGAAATATCAGTGCTAAAGTGATAAATTATACTTTATTTTCAAATAACTGAAAATTCAGTATTTTCCCCAGATAATCAGTGGAATACTGTATCTACCAATTCCAGCTAAACAAACTCTCCCAGTTGTCTCCCTGAGAAAAGGCAAACAGACACCTCATGTTACCGACACAGCCATTGCCATGTGGTCAGAAAGAGAAAGAAGAACCGTTTAATTTGTTTGCAGTTTGTTGTTAGACATCATCCTCCTCCTCATCTTCATCATCTTCTTTTGCAATGAAATGGAGCTTCCTGGCTTCTCGCCTGCTCCTCGTCACGCTCGGGAGCACAACTGCTGGGAGATGCTGGAGGGAAAAGATCAAATCAACAAGGAAAGTTTGTGGAGGCAGAACTCCTACCTCCACCAGCTCCCATCCTCCCTCAGCTAACACAGGAACCAACCCTCAGCTTGGGAGCAGTGGCACGAAGCTAAAGCTGTGGGGCTCTGGGGTGAATCTGCCCAAACCAGATGCATGGGCAGAATCAGGGCTGGCATTCCTTCCACTGGTGTGAGGAGGATTGGCACAGGGTGAAGGGCTCCCTAAGCAAATCCTCACTGCTCCCTAAATACCACAAGAAACACCTAAAAGATGGTAACATTACTTGCCCTAAAGTTATGCTTTTTAAACGGATTCAAATGTAAAGCTCTGGCTCTTGGGTCAGTTCAAAAGCTGAGGTAGACAGAAACCAGTTTTCATTCCAAACATTCCCAATGCAGCAGGGCTGGAACTGAGTGATTTCTAGGATCCTTCCAACACAAGCTGTTCTATGATTCTGTTAAGAACCAAAGAATAGCAAAAATCTATTTTGTCTCCACAATGTCATTATCAGTAAAACTACCTATCACATGGAATTGGAATAAAAAGCCTAAATAAGAAGGATTTTACACCTGAAATTAATTTAGCTGGGTGATTAATTTCATTTCTGATGGAGAGTTTTACCTGGGGTACAGGGCCCAACAATACCTGTCAAATTCACCAAGAGTTTTGAGGCAAACTTTAAGCAGACCAGGCCTAGAGTCTAAAGCAGGAACAGACTCATCATCTCACCAGTTCAACATCTCCGAAGAAGCGGTGCACTGGCATGGGCTGGTTGCTGTCCTCATCCGAGAGGCCGCTGCTGTGCTCCAGGAACATCTGCCTCCGCGGGTGATCTGTGTCCTCCGAGGTGGCCCCGTCAAAGCTCCCACAGCTGCTCTCCTCTTCGCTGAACACATGATAGTGGTGCAGATATCCACTCAGTTTTAATGGAGCACCGCTGGAATTCACAGCGTGTGGCCCCAGAGAAACACCATGCTCCTTCTCCTGCTTCTCTTCATCAGTCTCTGGAATGCTTTCATCTTTTTCCTGTTGGATTATACTGCTATCTCTTGGATCTTCTGAACCTCCATCCCCATCAGACGCTTTAGGTGTTTCCCCCAGTGCAGCAAGGTTTCCACTTTCACACGTGAATACCTCTAGTTCTGATTTTAGAACGCTTTCTTCATATTTCATCCTCTTTGCAGGTTGTCCTTCAGCAGCTTCATGTGATGAACACTGTTAGAAAAAAAGGACAAGATTGTAAAGCTCACTTGAAATAAAGAAGAATAAAATCACCTCATCTCTTTAGTTGCAAAGCTGGCTTTGGAACAGAAGGGCTCCATCACACAAGTGGCATTTTGATCCAAACCTTCTAAGAAAAGTAATTAGTAGAAAGTGCATGTGAAGAGAGAGAAGCAGACAGCTTACATAACCCACAATGTACAGTCCTGCAAGAGAAAAACACTTTTCTCAGAGAATAAACTAGCACCGTAAGAGGTCAATCACCATATTCTTATTTTCTTAAGGATGATGCTAATGGGAATTACTACGCCAGGCCTGTCATCACCCGGTACGACAGCGGCTAAATCTGCTCTGTATTTCTGCACTGGCACAAACAACGTCGTGGGAGGAGCGAGAACGGCAATAAATTTACCTCAATTCTGATAATTCCCACCTGATGATGCTCAGATTGCAGCTGTTAATAATCACCTGCGATCCCCCCGGGGCCGCGAGGCCTTTCCCTCACACACCATCCCACCCGGCCCCGTCCCTCCTACCGGGCTCGCCGTGTCGGCTGTTTCCCCCGCGGGCTGTGCGGGGTCGGCTGCCGGGGCCGCCTCCGCGGAGCGCCGGGCCCGGTGCCGGTGCCGTGGCCGTGGCCGTGGCCGTGGCCGGGCCGGGCGAGCGGGGCCGGCGGTGTCCGAGCGGCTCCGGCCCCGCGCCGCGCCGCTCGCCGCCATCTTGGGCCGCGCGCGGGCCCGCGCTCGCCATCTTGTGGAGCTCCAGTCAGGAGCCCCGCGGCGGGCGCGGGATGCGGGCACCGACAAAGGGCTTTGGGCACCGACAAAGGGCATTGGGCTAAGGGCTCCGGGCAAAGGGCAGCCTCATGCCAGGCAGTGAGGACTGGGAGCCTACGGCCCTCGCACACCATAGCCCCTCGCACACCATAGCCCCTTGCACACCATAGCCCCTCACACGCCGCAGCCCCTCACACACCATAGCCCCTTACACACCATAGCCCCTTACACACCATAGCCCCTCACACGCCGCAGCCCCTCACACGCCATAGCCCCTCACACGCCGCAGCCCCTCACACGCCACAGCCCCTTACACACCATAGCCCCTCACACGCCGCAGCCCCTCACACGCTGCAGCCCCTCACACACCATAGCCCCTCACACACCATGGCCCCTCACACACCGCAGCCCCTCACACGCTGCAGCCCCTCACACGCCGCAGCCCCTTACACACCATGGCCTCTCACACACCATAGCCCCTTACACACCATGGCCCCTCACACACTGCAGCCCCTCACATGCCGCAGCCCCTAGCTTGGACCACAGACAGCATTGCCTTAACAGAAACTTTGGCAAAGTGAGGACAAAGCAGCTCGTCACAGGTCATACAATGGGGTGGGTTGGAAGCAAACTTGAAGATCACTCAGTCCCACCCATTGCCATGGCCAGGGACACCTTCCACTAGCCCAAGCTGCTCCAAGACCCATCCAACCTGGCCTTGAGCACTTCCAGGGATCCAGGGACAGCCACAGCTTCTCTGGGCAGCTTGTGCTGAGACCGCCCCAGCCTGGCAGCCAAGAATTTCTTCCCAATATCCAATCTAAACCTACTCTCTATTAGTTTAAACCCATTCCTCCTTGTCCTGCCGCTACATGCTTTGGTAAATAGTCTTGTTTCTTCTTTCCTATAAGTTCCCTTCAAGTATTGGAAGGCTGCAATTACAGTTTCTGAAGGGAGCTTGCTGACCTCCCTCCCAGCTGCTGCTTGGGGAAAAACCCACCCCATCCTGCCTGGGAGCTATGTAGCTTATAAACATTTGAAATCGTTTGCTTCCCATTGTGTCTCGCTCTGGAGCAGCACTCGCTCCCATTCAAGACGTGGTGGAAGAGTTATTATTCAGATGTGCTTCTCTCTGCTTTCCACAGCCCTCAGGGAACAAATTATGTCAGTAACTCAAATCCCTCTTTAACTTCAAGGACTCTGAGGGTAGCAGATGAATTTCTGTGTAGTAAAGCACCCAGATTTAAGTACGTAATTATCCTGTCTGATGTTCCTGGGGAGGTGCTGAGGGGAGCGGCAGCAGGTACCGGTGCCCTGACGGCCACGTCCCCACGATGGGGCCCACGGGCTCCATCCATCACATTAAACACAGCTCCTTCTCCAGTTAATTCAGTGCTTTGGGGATGCTGTGGGGATTTTTATAATTCTGTCCATCTGAGGGCACAGGAGCTTGTTTCTTTATAGCAGCCTTTAATGTTCTTGCTCATTGCAGAGCTGTCCCACGAGTCTCAGTGGTACCTGTGCTCCTCCATCCAACTTGGCTGATTAAATGCTTGTCCGTTCAGCCTGGCCTTAAAAAACAGAAGCAACAATTTAAATCGCAGAAATAAGTAGCAAGACTGTACCTATGGGGATATTCAAGAAATATATTTTTTCTCAAAAGTATAAAATCCCCCCATTAAACCATGCAGGTTTGGAGACTCACCTGCACGTCGTGGTGCAATTTCCCTCAGTGCTCAGGGTCCGTCTATTCTTTGTTCTCTGGGTGACATAATTCATATTCTTCTCCAAAACCTTCTCGACTTGCTCCACTCTCTCACAGTGTTGTTGCTTGCAGCCATGGAATACAGATGATTGTTTTTATTAGGCAGTGAAAACTTATACTGTCTTGTAAACAGCCACAGACTAAAACTGGCTGAAAAGCAGCATTTCTGCAGCTGGAAAACGTGGTTCTTGTTTTAATTTCCACAACAAACTGAAAATAGTAAGGAAAATTTAATTCTAATCAATACTTTTCACAACACCGTGCATTCCTCGGGTTTTATGCTGCTTTGCAAAGCTGATGTGACTGAGCACTGAGAAGGGGGTGGCAAAGCCCTGAGCAGTCCTGTGTCCTTCGGTGACCTGATGTGGGGTGAGGTACACAGCTACAAGTGCGTGAGGATCCATGGGGTGGCCTTGGACACAGGGTGCAAGGGACACCGCAGGTTAGATGGAGCTGTGATGGCAGGGCTCCATCCAGAGCTCTCATGTCACACTCACCCTATTCCCCACTTTAACTACATTATTTTGGGGGCAGGTAGTGACAATTTCACAGCTTCAGATGTTGCTGCATATTCTGAAATATGGCCAAGATAAAAACTGTCACACAGTGCAGGAAGCACCCAGGAGAGACTGTGGATCCCTCTGAGATCCATCCCCTTCTCAGCAGCAGTGACTCCCAAGTGACTTGAAAGGCAACAGGGGAGACTGCCAACAGCCAACAGCCCTCTGAGAGAATCAGAGCAGCACGAGCTATTTACATTAAACCCACATTTCCACATAAAAGGGGGCTTATTCTCAATATTTTAAAAAATGGGTTATGTTAGAATCTGTTGTCTAAGAAGGCAGGGAAGAGAAAATGAAAAGAGGGTTTTGTGAGCTCCATCATTCCTGTGAAAACTGGCGGCTCTGCAGCAGCAGCTGATGAGCTTATGGAGCAGGAAGGGAGAGCTGGGCTGTGAAACTTGATGTGCAAATGAGCTTCTTGCAGCACTTGTCTCTGCGCCTGTCACTTGCACCAGTGTCCCTGTCTGTTATAATCCTCCTGGTTCATTTGGCTAAACATGACTGACATGCCAGGGACAGCAGCCAAAAAAAATGTTGCCTGTAAACATGCTGGCAGTTAACTGTTGAATGTGAGGTCTGTCATACTGAACAGCCATCCATCAGGAGCACTGGCTGGCCTTTTCCTGCCACGGAAAAGGTGGGTTGGGTTCAAGTGGCTGAATTTTTCTGGGAAGAAAGCAGGAAGAGGATCCACTTCCCAGTTAGCAGGACCAGGAGCCTTGCTCCCTGCTGCATCCTTCTGGCTGCCCCCTTTGCCTCCTCAGCAGGAAGAGTTGGTCTTGTGGTGAAGATTTCAAGAAAAGATGTTTCACTGCTGTTCCCTTCCATCACATGGTGTTGTGCCAGCTCAGGTAATGTTGGTGAGTATTGAAGCTGGATAGGGCTCTGAGTAACCTGATCTAAGGAAGGTGTCCCTGCCCATGGCAGGGAGTTAGAACTGGATGATCTTCAAAGTCCCTTCTAAGCCAAAACATTCTGTGATTACATGATTCTATGGACTGCCAATTTTGGGCTCCCAGAGGCACTGTGTACTTGGAAATCCTCTGGGAGTTGATACCCCATCTAGAACTGAAATTCTGCAGCCCTCCGATGCAGCTGCCCTGAACGCTGCTGACCTGAGGAATTTTGCACCACTGACTGGAATAAACCCCTCACTTCCATCACAGAGGAGTACTCACATCAGGAGCTGGTGAGCCTTGACACAGAAATCACAGGCAATTTACGGTACATAATGAAACTTTATGCTTGCCATGTGAGAAATCTCTTTGAGTCTTATTTTGGATTTCTAGCAAGTGTTTTATCAAGGACCAAACATGGAAAGGCAGTATCTGAAGAAATTAATTAACACGACAGAGCTGTACGTGGGCTTTGTGAGAAAGAGCAACAAAGAGGAAACCTGTGACATTTGTTAATGACAAACCATAAGGAAAATCGGAGAAGAGCGAGTGCAGAGAACCTGTCTGAGGGGCTGTGTGCTCTGGGCTCCTGTGATGAGTACGGCTGGAGCCCTGCCAGAACTCTCCCCCAAACCCTTGCCTGAAGCCCTGCTGCTCATGTTCTTGTCCCCCTGCTACTGATGCACTTTTTGTAACCATCTCTAGTGTTTACCTGGCAAATCCTTCCCAAGGCACCTCCAAACACTGCCCAGTGAATTCCACCTGCCCTAGGTCTCCTGCCTTTCCTAAGCCCCTCTTGCTCCTGGCATATTGATTTTTAAAGTGTTTTGTAAACCACAAGTAAATCTCTCCCAGCACAAAGTGTCTCACTGGACCCAAATCCTTACCTTTGCTCCAGGAGACTGATTACATGGATTTTAATGATCTCCCAGCAACTTGGCCTGGCTGTTAAAAAGCATCAGCTACAGAAACCTTTTCGTGCCTCAATTTAACAGCTGCAGTAGCTGTAGCCGTGGGAACAGGCCCTCCCGCCCCTCCGCTTCCCGCTTTGTCACGTCGCGTTGCTGCAGGCTTTCATTAGGGTTTAATTAGGGTTTCATTCCCATCGAACTTCCCGGCCGGGGCAGCGGCTCGGGCTCAGCCGCCGCCCGACGCTGGGGGTCAGTGTGAGACCGGCGGTGCGGCCGCGCCGCTCGTGGGCTCGGGGACACGGGGGACACGGGGGGACACGGGGGGACACGCAGGGTGGGCGACACGGGGAGATACGGGGGGACATGGCGACATAAAGGACACGGGAGGGACAAGGAGTTCTCTCCGTTCTCGTGGGAGAGGCTCAGCCCCCACCAAGCCTGTCTGCCCTCCTGCGAGGAGTCCAAATCAGGGAGCACAGGATGGCTGGGGTTGGATGGACGTTAAGGCTTACCCCGTTCCGACCCCTTGCCATGAGCAGGGGCACCTTCCACTATCCCAGCTTGCCCCAAGCCCTGTCCAACCTGGCCTTGGACACTTCCAGGGCTGGAGCAGCCACAGCATCTCTCAGAAACCTGTGCCAGCAACCTCACCACCTTCATGGGGAAGAATTTCTCCCTAAAATCAAATCTGTGTTTCCCCTCTTTTAGTTTAAAGCCATGCACCCTCGTCCTGTCACTCATTGCCCTTGTCCATTGTCCTCTCCAGCTCTCCTGGAGCCCCTTTAGACACTCCAAGAGGTTCTAAGGT